CCCCCTCTCCCCCCCCACCACAACAGACAGGGGCTGTGGCCCTGAAGCAGCAGGCCATGCTGGCTGCAGACAGAGGTTGCTCCAGCCAAGCAGGCAGCCAGCTGCAGTCCCGGCTCACGCTGGGTCCAGGGCTTATCCGCACTGCGGCTCTGCAGTGTAAATGTACTAAGAGTCAGGTGGACAGGCAGCCCATCTCTTACTACATTTAAACAGCAGAGCTGCAGGGTGGTAAGCCCCGGACCCGGCACAAGCCGGGACTGAACCAGGCTGCCTGCCTGCCTGCCTGCCCAGCTCCTACTACGTTTTAAATGCAGAGCCTCGAGTAGTCTCTTACATCCCTAATGTGCCAGTAATTAACAGATACATAGTGATGATAAAAAACATATTGTATAATAAAGGTACCAGTAGATTGTAAATGTACAGAAACTGAAAACAATAGGCCCAAAATTGAGCCCTACTGATATCTATATTTCATGAGATCGAGGGAAAGTTTACCCACAATGAACAAGAGTGAACTATTTGAAAGATATAAGAGAATATGAAATCCTGAATGCCTGGCAAGACATAACAAGGCTATGAATGAATTGCATTAAATCTGGAGAGTATGTTCCAAGAAAAAATAAATGACATTGTTATAGTCAGAGAAAATGACATCAAAATCCTTACATAACATCTGGAACTATTTGTCAGAACAAAAAATTCCTTAAAGAAAACTCAGAATTAGAATATGTGAATGACAGACTCTTTTTTTTTTTTTTCAGTAACAGTTCCAAAATACAATACACAAATAAATACTATTTGTTTTGCATTGACTTAAAATGAAATCTTGCATTTTGTACCACCTGAAAAAAGCAAAATCTTGTTTTGGGTTGAATGAAATGTTACATTTTACTTGATTTTTTTTTTCATTTTTGGAGGCCTTTTTAACCTTTCTAAAATGAAATTGAAATATAATTCAGAACAAAGTGTTTTTGAATCAACATTAAAATGTTTAATTTCACAGATATAAAAATGAAACATTTTGACTTTTTCAGCTTACTTTGGGGAGGGTTTTTTTTTGTTTTTGGCTGAAACAAATAGGCAAATTTAACACAAATTTGCAAAATATTTCAGTCAACCCAAATCTGCAATTTTGAAGAGGCACATTAGCCTGAATTTTTTTGCCTTGCTGTAGTTATATCAATGTTGTTCTAGTTATCACTTTTGAATTAATTTATTTTAGCTATGTTCGATACCCTAAGAGCTCCATCTTGATTTTTTTTCTGGAGTGATATAACTCCTACCCAATGGAGCTCCTTTTTCCAACCTGTGAAGTTGGGACTTCCAAATGACCTTTAAGCAAATCAGTTTATACCGAATGATCAGCCCTAAACACAAATTGATATGTGTCAAACTAGTAATGAATGTGATAAACTTGATTCTCCATTCTGTTGCATTGGTTTTGTGCTACAGTAATTCGATTGAAGAGGATGTAATTGCAACAGTGTAAAATCAATATAAGCAACTAGAAAGACACCTAAAATATGGCAGCATCTGGCTGATGACACACTCTAGTGCATTAAGGAACTAGGAAGAGATGAATCATTCAGACCCATTCTCCTTTTTGAACATTGATTTGGTTGTGGTGCACCTCATCTAATGGCTATTAGATGTGAGTTGGTGACATGAGGTCAGCTCCTAAAATGCAGGTGTGCAGAGAATCGAGCCATAGTACGGGAAAGGACCTCGAGAGGTGTCAAGTCCAGTCCCCTTCACTCATGAAGGGCAAAGGAACACTTAGCCCTGGGAGAGGGGGGCACTAAGATGGTAGCAGTTCACCAGGGTTAGCTCCTGGCTGGCTGCCACCACTGTATTTACCAGCACCCTTGCAGGTACTGGTGATTGCATCTTCCATTTACCACAGATCGTTGTTCCTGGCCAATGGGAGCTGCAGAAAGCAGTGTGGACCGGGACACACTTCCTGTAGCTCCCATTGACTGGTAACAGCAAGTTGCAGCCAACAGAAGATGCATTTGCCCATACCTGCAGAGACAAAGGTAAATATAGTGGTGGTGGCCTACAGGAGCTATTTGTGTTAGCATTGTTTGCAACATGTAATCTCAATTATTTGTGACTTTAAGAGTAGGTTAGACAAACACTTGCCAAGGAAAAACTTTTAAAAAACGACAATTAGTCTAGCAGCACCTTAAAGACTAACAAAACATGTGGGTGGTATTATGAGCTTTTGTGTACAAGCCACTTCAGAAGAAGAAGATCTATCAGAAGAAGTGGGTTATACCCACAAAAGGTCATGATGCCATTCTACATGTTTTGTTAGTCTTTAAGGTGCTGCTAGACTAATTGTCGTTTTTTAAAAGTTTTTCCTTGGCAAGTGTTTGTCTAACCTACTCTTAAAGTCACAAATAATTGAGATTACATGTTGCAAACAATGCTAACACAAAATGATTCCATTTGTAACAGTCTCTTTTGACACCAAATATGAAATCTGTAATGGGTTGTCTCTTATTACCTTGCAAAGTCCCCTTCATTTCCAGATGAAGCACATAGTGGAAATTTGCACTGGACAGGCAGAAACTTTCAATTTTTAGTGCTATTAATGCAGTGCTTTTCACCAGCTGTAAATTCAGTTATTATCAATAATAAAGACAATACAGTGATTTTTTTTTAGCCCCAAACAGGAGCAATGAATGAATGAATGAATGAATAAAATGGAATCCTATAGAATACTTCTCCTGGATCGGATTATCAGTGTATAACACAACAATTCTGGATGGATCATTGGTAATAGGGATTGAATTAATTGACTCTGGAACTAAAAGTATAAGCCTGTACTAAAAGAGCGAAAAGGTCCAGCTCTAATAGCTTGTATGCTGTACCAGACTTTCAAATCTCAGTAAGCCATACTCTACAAGGGGAGACAGAGAGCCCCGTGGTGTCAGTGTGGGGAAACTACAGCACTCGAGAAATAATCCCAAGTATAAGAAATGCAATATTCTCATTGTTCTTTAAAAAGCAGGACCAGCATTCAATATTATGAAAGAAAGTCTGTGACATTAATTTGTACTGATGAATCTTTCTTTATTTTCTGTTTCAGAGGAAGAATTTATCCCTTCTCTTCAGCATTGGTTTATTGACTTTCTGGGGATCTACACTGCTGGGTGTCCGCTTGTACTGGATGGGCAACAAGCCACCAAGCTTTTCCAACTCTGACAACCCAGCAGCTGACTCAGACAGTTTTTTTACACGCACTCTGACCTTTTTGTATTTACCCACGAAAAACCTCTGGCTGTTGTTGTGTCCAGACACCCTCAGCTTTGATTGGTCTATGGATGCTGTGCCTCTTCTTAAAACAGCCAGTGACTGGAGGAATCTACACACTGTGGCCTTCTATGCTGGACTCCTCCTTCTTGCCTACTTTAGCTTGAAGAGTTCCAGCAATAAAAGAGAATGCAATGGGAAAACTGTGATGAATGGCAAGCAGAATACTAATGGGCATAGCTGCCACTCAGACCTGGAATACAAGAGTTTAGAGCTGAAGTCCAGCTTTACATCAAAAGAAGAGAATGGCGTAAAAAAACATGTAACTCAGAGACCTCAGCTTCCTTCAACTGAGAACATTGTACTTCTGTCTCTGTCTTTGTTAATAGTGCCCTTTGTTCCTGCCACAAACCTATTTTTCTATGTAGGCTTTGTAATAGCAGAGCGTGTACTATATATTCCTAGTATGGGCTTCTGCCTGCTTATTACAGTGGGTGCCAGGGCCCTTTATGTCAAAGCCCAAAAGCGCTTTTTGAAAAACTTGATTTTTTATGCCACTGCTGCATTAATTTTTTTCTATGGACTCAAGACTGTTGTTAGGAATGGCGATTGGCAGAATGAGGAGATGCTGTATAAGTCAGGGATAAAAGTAAACCCAGCTAAAGGTAATATGCTTACCCCTTGGTGAATGTTTTGTTCCTGCCTGTCTGTCTGTCTGTCTTTTCATGGTTTCATTTACAAGTTTGACACCTGTGATCAAGGTTTGAAAAAAGTCTTGACCTGGATGGTCCACTACATTCAACACCCTAATGACATAAAAAGTTAAGCACAGGGTATTTTTAGCCCACTCTACTAGCCTCATTTAGCACGACATTTTAACTGACAATATTTGTTTCCTTCTTTTTCCCTCCCCATCTCCTCCTCTCTTTGCTATTTGTGCCCTTGATCCCATACTTCATTCATCCGAAGAAGTGGATGGTCCCCAAAAAACTCATGATACGAACTACATTTTTTATTAGTCTTTAAGGTGCTGCAGAACTATTTGTTGTTTTTTCAGTTAGACTAACACGGTTGCCCCTCTGAAGCTCTCTTTTTATAGGTTTGTCAACTGTATTTAGAGAATGTACATTTCTGAAATGCATCTTAGGTGCAGTAACACACACAGTGGCACAGGAAAAAGAAGACAAAGCAGGTATGCATTTTGATTAGGTACTACAGACTTAATAGTAATATGCAGAACATTGGGGAAAAACAAAGTAAGATGATTCTGTCTTTAATGATCTACAGGCAGTCCCCGGGTTATATGGATCCGACTTACATCGGATCCCTACTTACAAACGGGGTGAGGCAACCCCACACTAGCTGCTTCCCTCCAGCAGACCAGGGAGACGCGAAGCTAGTGTCCCCCCTCCCCCAGCAGATCAGGAAGACGCGGAGCAGCTTTTCTCAGCAGACACCTCAGCTTGAGAATAAAGGACTGAGGGAAGTGAGGTGTGGGAGAATAAAACTGAGCTCTGGAGAAATGTTTGGCTAGAGTTTCCCCTACATTATGTACCAGTTCCGACTTACATAAAAATTCAACTTAAGAACAAACCTACAGTCCCTATCTTGTACGTAACCCGGGGACTGCCTGTATCTGCTATTTTTTGGAATTAGGAATTTGGAATTGAAACATTAAGGTTACAGACTCTGCCACAATTTACATTACCTGCTATGAACTCCTTTCAGTAACTTTCCTAGGAGCAAATATGAGAAACAATTTAACAGAACCCAAAGAAGCTCTGTCTTTTAAATTTCAAATGATGTGTAAGTACCATTGATACTACAAAACAAAGCTGGGTTTGTATTATTCAAATTGACAGGCAGTCCATATTTCAAAGGCTAGCCAGGGTTTTAGCCAAACAGTCATACCCTAGTATGTTAATGCATTAAATCATTAAATGAGAGAGACAAGATGGGTGAGATGGTGTCCTTTATTGGGCCAACTTCTGCTGGTGAGAGAGACAAGTGTTCCAGCTTACATAGATTCAGAGGGGTAGGTGTGTTAGTCTGTAACTTTAAAAACAATGAGTACTCCTGGGGCACCTTAGAGACTAACAAAATATATAAAATCATGAGCTTTTGGGGGTAGAACAAACTTCATCAGTTTTACCCATGAAAGCTCATGATTCTATATATTTTTTTAAAATCTCTCACGTGCCACAGGACAACTTGTTTTTAAGCTCTCAAAGACTTCTTCAGCTGTGAGTAAGTTTTGAAAGCCTGTCTCTCTCACCAACAGAAGTTGTCCACTTTACTCACAATCTCTCTCTAATATCCAGAGACCAACAGGACTACAACAATACTGCATTAAAGCATAAGTGTGAGGTATCTGAAGCAATAGGAAAGTGCTATACCTCACAGAAAGCCTGTTTTATGTACAGGCCAGTGGAACTAGAAGAGATCTATTGATTGATTTTTATGTCTGTTATGGAAAAAAAAAACCTAGACAACATTTTAACTCTTTGCACTTAGGAAAACCCTAGAGTATTCTGCTCAGCAGAATGATGCTCTATCAGCAGTTGATGCTGACCAAACTGCTTTGAGTAAGATAATAGTGGTATGTTACAGTCTAGCTAGTAAGATGATAAAAGGTAAATGCAGATATCAGTGTAAGCGGAAAGGCAAAGAGGGAGAATAAAAACGGCATGATTTTATTAAAGCAGTTTCCTCTTCTACCATCATGGGGTTTTGAGACAGTCTTTTAACCTGCTCCCTTTTCTCCACCATTGAGGAAAGAAGGGAATGTCAGTGACATGTCTTCCTTGCCTCTTCCTATCCTCTCTCACACTCATCTTCTCTATGAGTTTTTGTTGCTGTGTTAGAAGAATTCTACTTGCTTTGCATGAACCTGTTTTAGGGTAGAGGGCGGGAAAGCACCCATCCTTCCAGGCTGCAGCAGCCTTACATGATTTATGGTTGTACCATACTGCTTTCACTCAACGATGGTATAAAAAAGCCAGTTAAAAACACAGCCAACTCTTCTACTTGTCTTCCCCATTTCCCCCCACCCTCACAGTTCCCAAGTAGAATCATGTCTTCTAATGCTTCCTTAAAGCCAAGGGCTATTCTGTTTGACCCAGTGTACAGCAGGCAGATGCCTGTCATGATGGACTCATGGTAGCACTCAGGAGGTGCACTGCCCCCTTTTGCATGTGCTCCCTCATGCCCCTCCCGGTCACTGTAGGTTGACTCCTTCTCTCCCCCTCACCCTATGGGCACAAGTTGCCCCTCTTGCTAGTCATTAGCTGATGGAATTTACGTGTGGTTTTGGGACTCCTTATCTGCATTAGTTAGCATATTTGTTTATATCCCTGGCTTATATCAAAATGGCAAATGAACTAGTTTGAGAGAAATTAGGGATGTAAAAGGTTGTTAGGGCATAGAGCAGCTCTCTGCCCTCCCCGGGCGGGGGGATGTGCCAGTCCCGCAGAGTCTGCCAGAACAGCCCCTGTCTATGATGGGCCCAGCCACCCTCCCCCCCACCAAGCCTCCTGCTGCAGGTTACGCGCTGGCTCCCCGGAGCAAGGCTGTGGGGCGCTTGCTTCAAAGCCTGCAGAAAAGCCTCCCTGGCCGGCTGCTGGCCCAGCTCCCGGGGAGACTTCACTGAAGGCTCTGCAATATAAAGCTTATTTAGGCTTTATACTGTAGAGCCCACCGCACGTGTAACCCTAAGCTTTGTAGTGGTGACATTTTCAACCACATTTTTACATCTCTAATATAAACAGTGTCTTTTTTATAACTAGTATATTAAATAACTCTCAAGATGAGTCACATCTTGCCTCATTATAGCTTGTGAGGACTCGGGAGGAAAATGGACTAGATTGATTAATGTAGTTTATAGATTTTGAAATGGAGGCATACATGTCTACAGCAGAGAGGAACGGGAGAAATGTGTCTCTGAATACCTTCAAATTAATGAGAAATCTAACTCTTAGGCAGTGGTTTTTCTCACTTGAATGAAGTGTTTTCTTCCCCCCCCCCCCTTTAATCTGTAAAAACTGTGATAGTATTTACCATGTCTGCTGAGAGTTGAGAGTTGTGTCTCTGTGGCACCAATTATTCTGAATTTAATATAAAATTATAATTATACATACAATAATTATACTCACTGTGTCTTATCTCTGGTTTTACTGTGTAATTCCAGTAGCTGGTTTCATGGGGCAGATGTTTTTCAGAGAAGTGCTATCAGCCCAGTCATTTTGAACTTTAGGAAATAGTTGTATTTCTGCTCTCATTTTAAACTTTAGACCTGTAAATTATTGTTGATTGTAACTCCTTAAACTTGTTAGAGCTAATTGTCCGACCTTCTATTATAGAAAGCACTTAATCTAGTGCTTAAAAGTAAAACACGTGAATAAATCTCATTGATGCCAATGGAACAGCACATGCTCAAATCCCACTGGATTCAATGGGACATCAGTGTGGGCTTAAATTCTTTCCTGAATCAGAGCCTCAGAGCATCCTTGATTTAGTGCTAGTGTTACTTTTTACATGCACTGCCACTGCCTGGCACATCAGCTCCTAACGTTATTCTGTGGAATTAGTAAAAACCAGGAGCACAATCAGAAGCAAGGGCACAATATGTTTGCTCTAAATGGTGTGTAAAAAATTCCTAGGCTCAGAAAGTCTAACTATGTTTTGTCCCCTTCCTTCAAGTCTGGATCTTTAAATGTTGCCTTGTGTTTCCAGCAGGAGGTAAAACAATTTTCTAGGATAGAAAACTGTAAGAGTTAAAAGAAATTTTCTTCTCTGGACAACATAGTCTTTTTTTCGGCAGGATGAATCACTTGTCATTATATTCATGCCAGTAGGAAGGTTTTGAAACTAACCCCAATTATTTTTGGATTTTTCATTTGCCAGCCTTTGCTAAAATAGTAACCAGCTTTGGTCATTTCTGATCTATTTCTAGCTTTCTTTACAACTGTGGTTTGTTTTTGTTTAGAAGATTGTCTGCTATAGCTTTGAGCTGGTAAGGAGCAGCTGTATAAAATGTATATGACTGTCAACATCTGAGTATGCAAAGTAGATCAATGGCATAACTAAGTACAAGTGTATGATCATTTAATGATTTGAGGGGTTTTTTGTCTTTACATTTACAGGAAAGTGTGGTACTTGGATGATTGCATATATATTTTAAAAATCCATTTGTGGTTAATTCTTTAATTAGCTTACTTAAACAACTTTAATTAGCGTAATTTAAACAATAAATAGTCCTGTAGCAGCTTAGAGACTAACCAAAAATATAGATAGTATCATGAGCTTTTGTGGGAACTGGGTCGTGCCCACGAAAGCTCATAATACATCTATATTTTTGCTTAGTCTCATAGGGCATATATAGACTACGCTAAACCTTTGAAAGGGATATGCAAATTCCTGTGGAATTTGCATATCTTCTTTCGAGCTCACTTTCAAAAGTGGCACTTCCAGAAGTGAAAGTAATTAAGATGTGGTTTTGTCGGCGAACGCTCCCATGTATCGACAAGCCACTTTTCCTTAAAAAATGAGGTTTACACAGAATTTGCATATCCTCTTTCGAAAGTCTAGCATAGTCTAGATATTCCCGTAGATACGACAGGAACATTTGTTGTGTTTTAAGGTTTTGGTGGGTTTTTTTCATTTCAGA